ACATTTTATTATTTTTTTTCAAAATTTTTTTGAAATTCTTTCCTTCCCCCCCCCCCCCCCCCCCAATCCGCCGTACACCCCCCTAATATTTGATCCTTCGCGCGGGCCCTGGGAATAGAATAAGGCTCTTTTGCAATCTCTATTATTGATTTCAATTAAACTTTTTGTCTTACGAGGAAACCTTCCGAAATGATTCAGAACTTTCATGTTGTTGTTTTCTTTACAAGTCAAACTCATTGATTTTTGTTTTCAGACTTTATGACTTAGAATAAGAGATTTACCGAAAAACTCAAAAGTACAAAATTTCGATCTGAAGTGTCCTTCGTGTATAGATCTCATGGCACTTATAGCAATGTAAATGTTACAATCAAAACGAATGTTTTGTCTCTTGAGAAATCAATTTTTGTAATTTGCATAAAAAATTTTCATGGACCCCATCTTAAATAGTGTATAATGAAATAAATCTGTTAGACAAACAAACACAAATGACTATAATTAAAAATATAATTCAATGAAAAATTATTTTCTAGCATTGTCCATGGTCAATAAAATTACGTGAATTACGTGCTAATAGTTATTTAGCATTAGGTGATACATCAAAAGCAGTTAATGATCTTAAAGCTACATCTAAATTAATACCTGATAATACTCAAGCATTTCTTAAAATAAGTCAATTACTTTATTTAATGGGTGATGCTGATGATAGTTTAACGTATATAATCTTTATTTATTCTTCTTTTTTGTTTTTGTTTTTTTGTTTTTAATTTAATTCATTTTGATTTTTAGAAATATTCGTGAATGTCTTAAATTAGATCCTGATCATAAAGAATGTCATACACATTATACTAAAGTTAAAAAATTAGCTAAACAATTAGAAATCATACGTGATGCAATAAGTCAATCGAATTGGAATGAGTGTATTGAAAAAGCTCGTCAAATTCTTAAACTTTCTTCAGATTCATCATCATCTATATTTGTTTATCGTGCACATTCATCATTATGTACATGTATGTCACGTGGAAAATTTCCAGCAATAGATACAATTAAAATATGTACTGAAATATTAGATGCATATCATACATCTGATGCTGAAATCTTAGTTAGTCGTGCTGAAGCATATATATTAAATGAAAATTATGAAGCTGCATTAGCTGATTTTCAACGTGCACATGAAACAGAAGATTCAAATCGTGTACAGGATGGAATAAAACGTGTTGAAAAATTAATAAAACAATCAAAAAAACGTGATTATTATAAAATTTTAAGTGTTAGACGAACAGCTAATAAAGCGGAAATTTTACGAGCATATAGAAAACTTGCTATTAAATGGCATCCTGATAAATATGAAGGTGATGATAAGAAAAAAGCAGAAAAAATGTTTATTGATATAGCTGCAGCAAAAGAAGTTTTAACTGATCAAGGTTTGTATTTAAGTTAACAAAACTTGATAGAAATAAATATATATGTTTTATTTAGAAAAACGTGCTAGATTCGATGCTGGTGATGATCCTCTTGATGCTGAAGAACAAGCTCAACAACATAATCCCTTTCATGGTTTTAATCCATTTGGTAGTGGCAATGGGCAAGGTTTCACTTTTCGTTTTCATTTTAATTGATAACATTAATATAATTATGTACAGTAGTCGATTTTTTGTTTGTTTGTTTTTATTCTCATCTTTTATTTTTCAAAAAAAAAAAAAAAAAAAAACATCGACCATTCGTTGTTATTATTATTTTTATAGACATACTCTTTTCTTTTTTTTTTTCATGCAAAACATACAAAGAAGGAAAGAAAAATTTTATTTCTATTTGTGATGATAAGTAACACATAGATTATGAGAAATGCACTGTAATAAAGATGGCTATACATTTATAGACTTATATTACGAATGAAGAAAAAATAATAAATAAAATGATTATTGGAAATCGGAATGAAAATGTTGTCATAATTTTAATCGGCCAAATTGGATCCACTTGACTAGAAATAAATAAAATTATATTATTTCAATGATTTTTTTTTCGAAATATTTACTTGAAGTATAGAAACAATAAGACCAAAAAGACCGATTGCACTAGCAAATATTTCAATAATAAGAATACGAACAAATAATGATGCATTTTGAGCATCAGCTAAAGCTGCACCCGATCCAACAAGACCAACACAAACACCACAAAATAAATTACATAAACCAACAGATAAACCAGCACCAAATAATTTATAACCAGCTCGATATTTATGAGCTAAATCATTCGTTACAGTTGTTGAATAACTCTAAAATTAAAAAAAAAAAAAATAACCTAATTATAATAATCTTTCGTTTACTTACAGATATATAACCAGATATAACAATACCCATAATAAGTCCATAGATGGCAACAGCTTCACACATAATAATTGAAATAAGATTTTTTGTTCGAATACGTGGTGCTTTTACACCACCACCCAATATACTTACACCAGTTGCAAGAATGCCTCTATCAAAAAGAACAAAAAGGATTATGTATGCACCGATCATGATAAAAAAATTTATATAATTTTTAATTACAGAGCAGCACCAAGAACAGATAGTGATACGGCTAGAGCAATACCAACTAATGCCCATTGATAAGGTGAAATTGCTAGAAGAAACCAACCAATATCATATCGAAAACCATAATTTGTTAACATATAAGTTAAGCCTATAATGATCAGTTCAAAATAATTTTTTTTTGAAAAATAAATTCAATACATACCAGAATAGAGGAATAAACCAACACCAGCGCTAAGAGCGCCATTCATTAAGTAAGATGTACTCATTTTATTTGTCTAAATAAAAACTAGAGAGAAACAAAACAATGACGATATATAACAATGATATGAATAAAGAACTAAATAATGTTATCAGTCAACAAATATCTAACTTCACACCTATTTTTTATGGCAAAGTCAATTAAATGAAGATGCTACGGCTTACATACATATTATTCGAAACAACACAAGATCCAATAAAAAAAAGAATACATCGATAGAGGCCGTACTTATATTTTTAAAAAGAATTTCTTTGCATAACTAAAAATGACATCAAATAAGTTATTAGTACACTCTTAGAAAAGGAAACCGTATTGTTGAAAACTCAGAAGAAAAAGATTTTCGAAATGATCTTGTGGTACTAGGACAATCCGTCGCATGAGATGATAGTCTTAAAGAAGACTCAACGGTGAATGTGGACGAAGGTTGGGTAATAGTAAAATATGCTCTGTTTTATTCTAAAATATTGTTTTACTTATAATCTATACCATTCCGATAGAGCAAGACTTCAGTCTGAGCTATTCTTTAAAAAAATATCAAGAAAATAAAAAGTAACAAGTTATTAGAGTGACCTACTCTGAACCAAATGTTCAAAATATGTACCAAAACTACATTTGACTTTATTTTTCAAATATTTATTTTGTTAAGATTTTTGACTCCGAATAGATTACTCTAAGAAAATAGATATTCGAACTTTTGAAAATTCTTAAAACGTTTCAAATAGTCCCATTGTAGCGAAAATCTTGAATGTTTTCCGGCATCATTCCAGAAAGTCCTTTTTTTAAGTTTTCTACAATATGGATTTGTTTAATAGTGTAATATGAATCAATGAAATACGTTAATATAAATAAGTAAATTTCCGTTAGATGTGCGACAGTTTTGTTAATTCGTAAAAAAGTGAAATAAAAGGTGATATGTAACTGTTTATGAAGAGACATTTGTTTTCGACAATAACCTAATATTATTTTATTACATGATGATGTTTATTTCATTTTGTCAATGAAATTTGTAACAACAGTTATATTGATATTACAATGAATAATGTAGGATAGAAAAGTTCTCATGGTTGACTTAACATTGTTTTTCCTTAAGAAAGTACTGAAAATATTCTATAGTTCAATCAATGTATGTAAATGTTATGAAAATTTTTCAAAAATAAATCTTATTCAAGTTAATCAGAACAAAAAAATAATAAACTAAAATCAATGATTTTAATTTTTCGTAGAATTGATCAAATCATTTGTGTTTTGATCAAATAACATAGACAAACAACTTGTCATTGATCTTTTCTTGAGTATCAAAAGAAAACATATTGTTTATCTTATTAGTGAACGGAAAAAAAAAACAAAAGGCACGGGACTTTTTTTTTTATTAGTGACAAAACACCGGTGAACATACAAAAAATAAAATAAAATAAAGTTAATTATATATTATTGAGTGATTGTAAGGATTGTGATCGAACATGAACACGTAAAAGACGTTCATGTTCACGTTCATGTATTTGTAATAATGTTTTTGTTTCACGTATTTGTTCTCGTTGTTTTAATAATCGTAAATAATTATCTTCACATTGTGTATGTAACTGAAAAAAAAGAAAAATAAATATTTAAATTGATTATATTATGTTGAATATTACTTTATCTAATTTAGATTTTTCTTTAATTAATTGTTGTTCTAATTCTTTTTCTTCTCGTTCAGCTTTAGCTATTTCTTCTCGAATACGAATAGCATCTAATCGTTTTTTACGATTTAATTCTTCTTTTAATCGTTGTACTTCTTGTTCTTTTTTACGTTTTTCAAAATCTGCTTCTTTGACTGATTTACGTAAATCATGTTCAACTTCTTCATTTTTACTTACAGTTTTCTATATAATTAGAATAAAAAAAAAACAAAGAATAGGATGTTTGATAATTAATGTTTACTTGAAAATGTCGTAAATGATCTTCATGTTGTCGTGTTTCAAGTTCAGCATGACGTACTTTAGCTTTACCTGCTCCGACTGTTTCACGTTCTTCACTTCTTTCGGTTTTTTCACGTAAATATTGAGTCATTAAATTTGTTCGACGACTTTCAATATCCTAAATATAAAGCCAGATACTTTTCTTCAATACTATTTTATTGCTATAAAACGAAAATACAAACAGCCATTTTAGTCATTAACTCAGCTGCACGTCGATCTTGTTCTGCAATAGCTGCATTTTGATTAAGTTCTCGTTGTTTAGTATAAATTGTTTCTAGTTGATTTTTTGTATCAACAATTCGACGAAGAGCTAAAAATTTTTTTTTTTTTTATTATAAGAAATTTAATAATTATAAATTTTTATTGTACATACCTTCTCGTTGTTTAAGATCAAGCATTGAACGATGAAGTGTTACATCAGCTGAGAGACGTCGTCTTTCAAGATCATAATTTTTCACATGTATACTTGTTTGACTAAAAGAATATGATATCGAGCAAAACTATTTACCTTTCTCGAGATGAAAACAAAATTGATTAGACAAAGAAAATGACATATACTAAAGAAAACTTTCAGAAACAAAATATTTCCTTTGGTATCGGAAACTATTCTATCTGAAAATGTATGTTGTACAGGTAATATGGTGATTATTAAAGATCCTTTGTTGAATTATTATACAAATGCCTTCCTATTAACAGAGAACTACATTCAAGACATAAATTTGAATTTTGAGTAGACTTTTGATAATCTTAAAAGTATGTTTTGTGTGTTCATTGATGATCTAACTCACAAGGGAACTTTTCCAGGTGCCAGAGCGCTTTTCAGTCGAAGTTTTGCGCATCTTGTAGCCTATAGTGAGCTATGTCTATGGTAAAAAAAGTTCGTCCCCCTGGCTTGTTTC